TTTCCCTGTGGGGACAGATGGCAAACACCCCAGAATGGTATAACAACCCCAAAAAGCATCGATGCATGGAGATGTGTTGGAAAACACCCCCCGCATCCATCGCTTTACTGCCCACCTCTTCTGTGCCGGTTGCAGGAGCTCCGATGACCGTCCTGCCAAAATCCCACACTTTACCTCCTAGTGGGTCAGCTGGAGGCTGGTGTGTTCCCCGGGTGGATGCACCCGCCTTTCTCTTTAACCAGGCAAGGATGCATGTCGGCGACCAGGGCGCTAGGTGGTTCTACAATATGATGACCTCCTTTATTCTTGGGCCTCAATAACGGGACCACGAGTAGCCCAGCAGATCCCCGGACCTCCCAAAATTTCAGCATCCCTCCCGTCTCCTTCCTCAGACCTCCCACGGCAGCAGTGTCGGCTGGGCGGCGCGGCTGGTCCATGCCTACCGTCCTGACTGTCTGTAGCTCCCCACGTGCCCCCTTTTCTGCAACCTTTCGACCTCTCCAGGCCTGCGGTCTCTTGCCATCGTCTCAGTCCCCTGCTGAATGGCCGGCTCCTGTCCCGGGGCCATTATTTCCGGGAAGGACAAAGGGATGCTACCTCCCACCGAGTTTCTTCAGTGAAGAAACTCCTGGTGCCTTCCTCGCCGCTGTCTTTGTGCTAAAATGGAAACCTCCCTCCCCATCAGCCGAACCGGCCACACCGGCAGCCCAGCTGAGTCGGGATCGGTGCCCTTGGCTCCGGGTGGGAATCGCGTCTCTGCTGTTTTACCTGTTCAGCCTCCGGCTTCGAGTGCCACCTGCCTCGAGGTGCCGTGTCCCGGACCGGTGCCGCCGAACCGGTCGCCGTGACACCCCGCCAGGAACTCCCGGAGCGTCTCCGCGGTTACCGGCTGTTCTGGGCTCTGGAAGTTTCCATGCACATCATCCTTCCGGAGGCAATCGCCGCCGGCTTCCTCCCTTGTCATTTCTTCCTCTTTCTAACTATTAGTCACTCCTCTGGAGCTGCGCAAGCCCTTCCTCCGTCCTTCCCTCCAGCCGCAGCCGAGACCCAAAGGAGGCTTGCCACTGCTTTGCTTCAACCGCTTCCCCCCTGGCTGCTTCCTCTTTGGATCCGTGGGTTAGAAGGGTTCATCCCGTCCAACTCCCCGCACAAATGCAGGATGCGCTATTTCTACCCCATTGCACGCAGAGCAATGTCCAGCTCGACAACCTCCACTGAAGGAGATTGCAACTTCCCTGCTGGCCTGCTGTACTGACGGTAAGGACATCTAGGGGTATTTTTTCCCCCTGGGTTTTAAATCGACATCGGTGTTGGTGCAATTTAACCACCCTCTGCAGCAAGGGAGGGTAGTTGTTCTCTCTTTTTGCTGCATGGCAGCCTTTAGATACCTGAAAGCTGCTCTCATCTCTCCCCTTATGCCAAATTACCTGGAAACAACCTGGAGAAGAGACCTCACAGCGCTTCTCACGCTGACTGAGATGTTCGTTAGTCTGTGCTCCTGCCCATATGGCCCATCATTGCTAAGAGAGCTTCATTTTTTTTTTCAGAAAAACAGGGCTGACTCCTTTGTGTAAGAGGAGCAGCATCCAAAGAGGCAGCTACGATATGCTTCTCTGCAGGAGCTTCCAGCATGATCCCCCAGGTCCCAAGTGAGCTCGACTGTCTCTTCCTCCCTGTGCCAGGTGAGTTTGCCCTCTCCGCTCTGTCTGGGAAGGAGGCCTTTGGAGGACTGCTTGGTGGACTGTCTGCAGGCAAAGTCAGAGAGACAGCAGGTCACAGATGGGTTGGAGTTGCTGATGTTAACCAAAGCCAGTCCGGGGAGTGGAAAGGGCCTGTGAAGTGGGAGAGGAAGAATCCTGTTCCTGATTAACCCTGTTCCCTTCTCTTTTCTCTGGGGCTAAGTACAGTCAAAAAGCCTTAAGCTGAATCGATTCAGTCTCCGCAGGTCAGTCTAAGCTGCATAGATTGAGCCGATAAGCAAGTGAACAGACATTCACTTTTGATGCCTGCAGTGGCCCAGGCCAGAAGCCGGGGGGTGCTAGAGAATGCCTTCCTGCTTGGCTGAAGCATCAGCTTCTGCCAAGGCTAGCCCACCCACCCTGCAAGGGAGGGGTTTGCAAGGGAGCTACAAAGCATCCTGGGATGCTGGGGGAATGTGAGTTAACTTGAATCTGGAGAGGATCTGGGACAGAAGTTCAACAAACTGATTTACCCAAGCTCATAGATTCATAGATTCATAGATGCTAGGGTCGGAAGGGACCTCAATAGATCATCGAGTCCGACCCCCTGCATAGGCAGGAAAGAGTATCTGCTCTCTGCTAGCTTGTGGCCATTATTTCTTGTAACCCCCGGGGGCGCCTTGGTGAATAAATACTCACCAATTCCCTTCTGTGCCCCCGTGATGAACTTATAGGCAGCCACAAGGTCGCCTCTCAACCTTCTCTTGCGGAGGCTGAATAGATCCAGTTTCTCTAGTCTCTCCTCGTAGGGCTTGGTCTGTAGGCCCTTAACCATACGAGTGGCCCTTCTCTGGACCCTCTCCAGGTTATCCGCATCCTTCTTGAAGTGTGGCGCCCAGAATTGCACGCAGTACTCCAACTGCGGTCTGACCAGTGCCCGATAGAGGGGAAGTATCACCTCCTTGGACCTATTCGTCATGCATCTGCTGATGCACGATAAAGTGCCATTGGCTTTTTTGATGGCTTCGTCACACTGCCGACTCATGTTCATCTTGGAGTCCACTAGGACTTCAAGATCCCTTTCCACTTCCGTGCCACCCAGCAGGTCATTCCCTAGGCTGTAGGTGTGCTGGACATATTTCCTCCCTAGGTGCAGCACTTTGCATTTCTCCTTGTTGAACTGCATTCTGTTGTTTTCTGCCCACTTGTCCAACCTGTCCAGGTCTGCTTGCAGCTGTTCCCTGCCCTCTGGCGTGTCCACTTCTCCCCATAGCTTTGTGTCATCTGCAAACTTGGACAGAGTACACTTCACTCCCTCGTCCAAGTCGCTGATGAAGACATTGAAGAATATCGGTCCAAGGACCGAGCCCTGTGGGACCCCACTGCCCACACCCTTCCAGGTCGATACCAACCCATCCACCACCACTCTCTGGGCTTGACCCTCTAGCCAATTTGCCATCCAGTCAAATCTGACACTACATCCATCCAGGTTTATCTTAAACCAGTTTTGGCCATTTTGGAAGGAGTTTACGTGCACTGAACTTCTGTTGCATTGCAGATTTGAACTGGTTTCTGACCACTTATACCTGTTTAGGTGCAATTTTTGTCCCTAGCCTGAAAGTCTATTTGTGGATGGACTTCAGGCACAAGCAAGCCCGTTTTGATCTGCAGTACTCCAGAAGAGGTGTCACATGCAGCGTAGGAGAATTGCTACCACTTGACATGGGATGCTCTGTTACAGCAAGGGCGGGCAGTGGAAAAACATTTGAATTCATGAAGCAAGTCACGGGTACTTTGAAGGTGCTATGATAATGAAGACAGTGGCTGACAGACAGGGCCAGCGCCCTTCAGCAGCACACACTTAAATTTGCTTTTCAAGTCCTCCCAGCACACTACTTTTTCACAGCCGCCCTGACAAAACACTCTGTGCTTCCTTAGACTGTAAATCTCAGGCCTCTCCATGGATGTCAGCAGGGTCACTCCAGATTTAACCCATGCAACCAAAGCAGAATAACACAGGCCCTAATTCCTGCCCTTAAAGAGCTTATGATCTAAAGTCGGATGCAGTTCAATTCCCCGACCCCCTGGTGCCACGCCAAATAAACCCATTGCAATAAACTGACCGTGCTCCCTCTGCAACCCTGTTGGCATTGTGTGTGCCAGTCCTGACCCATGGGGACTATGACAGGACGTCTCTAAAAAAGCATCAAGCTGAGGGTCCTTCACACATGATTTGGTTTCAGTCAGTTAGTCCCATATGAGCTGCTGGGACTATTTTGCAAGGTTAGGCCTATTTCTACCAATCCATGCTCCAGAAGAGATATTTCTAGGTTTTTTGAGGCTGATTTTACCCCATATGCTCCCATGTGAGCATTTCTCCATTACAATAATGGAGGGTCAGAGGGAAGATACCACATCAAGTATTTCTCCAGAGAGTAGTACCCAGACACTGGGAGGCCTCTCCAATTTCTTTGTTTAGGAAATCAAGTAACAAAACCCCCCTTGCTCACAGCACTTGCTCTCATCAGGTCACTTCCAAGTTAATATTCAGCATCTCAGAGGTTTGAACCAAGCTGGGGAAAAACAGAGCTGTTTCTGGCTGCACATCAAAAAAAGGTTTTGTAAGAAAGTCCTTCCAACCAGTAAAAATTAAACCACGATTTCAGCAAGCCAGCCATAGGCCAACCCCTCCATAGCTAGAATGGAAGTGGGTCTTCCAGAGGAAGGCTGCTTGTGCCCACACAGCTTTGCAAAGCTGTATGTTTGCAGAAAGATGAGCTCAATATGGGCTTGATGCTCTGGTTCGTACAATGAATACTATATCCATGATATAGGGAATATAGTATCATGATATATTATTCCTGTACTCGCACACAAAAGCCTGTCCATCCACATTTCCCATTCAAATCAACTGCACTTGGACTTCAGTGATGGACAACTGGGCAAAAAGATGTTCCCCACGAGTTACATTGAGAAGATGGAGGGGGGCGTTGAATAGCAGCCTTCAACTCCTGCTGGGGGGCTGCAAAGAGGATGGAGCTGGGCTGTTCTCAGTGATGAGAGACGACAGGACAAGGAGCAATGGGCTCAAGTTGCAGCAAAGGAAGTGCAGGTTAGATATTAGGAAAAACTTTCTCACGGTGGGGCAGTAAAGCACCGGAACAGGTTACCCAGAGAGAGGGTGGAGTCTCCATCCTTGGAGGTTTTGAAGGCAGCATTAACTTCACCTCGCTGCATAAATAATTGGGATGAACTGCACGAGGAACTAAGCAGAGCTAAGAGAGACCGGATTTATATCCTCTGACTTTCGAGCAGGGCCTGGGCGGCAGAATCAGCCTGGCAACGCTGCTATAATGGCTGGTCTACAGATGACAAGTAAGTCTATCTTGCCTCTCCTTTCACACAAGGCTCAACAGAGGGTGGTGGATGCATGAGGAAGCAATACCAGCTCCACACATCAGCTCCCTTTCTCCCCTCTCTGCGTTAAGCAACCAGTGACAAATGTTTTTTGCCTGGTTGTCCAGCCACCCACACCCATCCTGCATATAGAAGGTTGTAGATCAAGGTGTCAGTGTGCTTTACTCATGTCACTAAGCTACAATTAGTTTGGCCTGCAACGTATAAGGAGTGGACCACCTCCAACTCCAGCACGAGACACAGATGACACCCTGACTGCTTGAGCGGGTGCTGATGGTGCTTAGGTCACCCGTCCACAATCAGCATGATAGTCACTGGTGGTAACAGGCCAGGCCATGAGCTCAACCAGGTGGGTGGAGCTGTCCTCCCTTGAGGTTGTCCCACCACGAGGAATACCCTCTGCCCAACGCTGCTCTTGCTACTGCACAGGCTCTATGGCGTGTTTGTACAGCTGTCTCCTGAGACCCTGTGTTTTTCAAAACTGTTCTCCCTAGCAGCTGCGTCCCTTCTTCTCTCCAAATCCCACCTGGGCTCACATCTCTCCCCTAAGAGCTCAGGGTTAAGATGAGCTTTAGGCGGGAGAAAATCCCAGCTCAGCTAAGGCTGTAATATGAAGCAAAAGTAATGTTTTCCAGGGAGCCAGGAAGATGGTGGACAGCTAAAGCATCTCTTCTGATCCTTTACTGGGGTCTTGGTCTCTCCAGCTTCCCCTTCACTTGTCTTCCCTTCCTGTCTCAGCCTTGACCTTGCTTCTAATGAAGACAACAATGATTTTGAGGACTCAGTCTCATAAAGTTGTCAGTTCCTCCTTAAAAGCTACTGGCTGTCCTCAATCGGCAGAGAGAACCAACTTGCAGAAGCTTCTCCTTCAATGACAAACTTCTTAGGACCTCCTGTCCTTGTAGGGAACCAGTGAAGATGCAGCGATGTGACCAGGGACATGCAGAGGGTCTGTGACAGAGGCAGGAAGCAAGCTCCAGCCTCCCAACTCCCTGACAACTGGTCTTAATGCCAAAAGCCTCCTTCTGCTCATGTCTTCACTGGCATTTTATTTATCTCCCCTGAAGAGACAGCTCCCACCATGATACGAACTGCTGGCCCCAATCCCATTACTAGAGAGATGGGTGGTTTCAGGCCTGTTCCCACTGCTGCCTTTCCTCCCCTCCGCTTGCTACATTTTCCACCTGGAGGACATGAAACAAGATGGTTGCCAAATCCAGGTGCCGATAGCGTCTGACGACCCAGGAAGTGGAAGTGAAGGGTCAGGTGACCCACAGTCCACTATATAAGCCCAAGCCTTAGACCAGAAAGGGACAGTCTGGCCAAAGGAGCCACTAGGGACAGAGCCATCCTGAGACATTGCTGTGCCTGGAGACGGGCAGTGTCATTTTGGAGCTCTTCATCTTAGTCCCCAGAGGATCGGATTGTGGCTGAAGGGGAGGCGGAGACCACCGAAAGGGGTGCCTGTGGACACCCAAAACCCAAAGCTCAGCCAAGCAGGCAGAGTATAAGGACTGAATATGATTTGGGACCTCTAGTTTACAACGAGGTGCATATCACGAGTTTTGGAGATCACAAAGTTAAGC